TTAATGCCTCTAAGTAGAGACTGTTCAGACAAGTGCCTATACCAGTGATTCCCAACTAGAGCGCTGTGGACGGGGTGCCTTAATATCCTTTCAGGGGTGTTATGGGATGCTGCACAATGTTAACACTGTTAGGTGTGTTAGCACGATTCACAAGATAAACTCCGGGGGGGTGCAGTATCCAAGAAAAAGGGCGGCACACTGACAGCAGCACATGCCACCCAAAACCAGAGCCTGGCTGACCAGAGCCATACGCTGGTTGCTGGCCAGGCTTCCTGCTGCAGCCCCAGGAGGCCCCCAGGACCCCAGGTAAGGCTGCTAGGGCCAGCACAGTTGCTGGACCCAGCCTCCCCATCTGGGGTAACCTGCCATGTGGTAGAACATACTGCCATGGGCATTCTCCAGGGACAAGCAGCAGTGGGAAACAAACGCCCATGCTCATCTTGACATGCCCATGGATTTCAAATTAGAATCCTTAGTATTAAAAAATTATCTGATGTGGTCTTTCTGAGTACTTTGCAACAAAAGATTGCTCTGTTATTTTTCTGTAATCAAAAAAAGAATGAAAACTAAGAGTTGATATTTTCCGTGGGATGATGCAAGTCTAATGATGTTGAGAACCAGTGAACTTTACAGTACAAAATTAAAGCCATGAAGGGCTGAGATATGAATTCAGTCCCTTCTCATGCTCCCCAACATGCCTTAGCCCTTATAGTCCTAAAGGAATCAGGACGTCAGAAGCAGTACAGTACAAAAAATAAATAGTACTTTTTCACATCCAGCACCCAAATCTTGAGGTTGGCCTCAAATTGACCTTGACATCGGGCTTGAATTTTAATAGAGGAACAAGGTTATGTATGCAGGAAAATATTCTAATTATTGTTCAGAAATTATAAAAAACATTGAAACAGTAAGCCACTGCCATCAGTGATATGTTTAGTTTGCCAGAATTGGTATTTGCAATAATCCACCACAGTATTTATCCAATGGGACAGAATAAGGAAACCAGTATTTAAGTATAGATAAATATTCCCCTGTCCATGTGCTGCACATTGAAACTGAAGAAGGGCCGGTTAAGTTTAAAAAAAAAAAAAAAAAAGGTTCAGTTAAACATGGTTATTATGGAACAACTGTATGACTTGGTATGTATAAATTTACTTTTATGGAAATTGCAAACCACAGTGCAGAAGGAAATGTGGATCTGATTTAAAACAATTTTATACTATACTGGTGTGCTTGAAGTGATATAACTAGCATCTGTCACATGAGCAGCGTTCCTGATAAAGAATCCAAGAGTGCAGGTAAAACAATTCCAGGAGATAGTGTATGGGCAGTTATTAAGACTGATGATAACAATGAGGGAAGATGAGAGAGAAATCTTTAATGTCTATACACCCACAGAAAGTGCGCAAAGAACAAAACTGTTCCAGAAACTAGAATTATACATGTGGGGGAATTATCGTAAATGATTTCAGCCTTTTTGGGTTAGTGTACTCCTGGCAGCCAGATGTGGAGCAGTGTACCTCCGGCAGCCAGACAGGGAGAATGGCACATGGCCAGATGCCAGTGGGGGGTGGCATGTGGCTGGATGCAGAGCGTCAGTAGCCGCTGTGTGCAACCTTCCCCACCCCCTGTGTCTGGCCGGCCGGGTGGTGTCTGCACAAGATGTGTGGTGGTGCTCCGTCCCTGCTTGCCTGCACATACGCCCTAGGGCCTTCTCAAGTACCCTAGGGGTATGTGTACCCCCAGTTGACAACCCCTGGTGTAATAGAAAAAGTCACTAAAGGATGTAGCACTGTCAAGGCAATGGATACATCAGCATGAACCCTGAAGGAAATGGTTAAAAATGCAGGATTGTTAGATGTATGGGAGAACTCCAGAATAGCAACAAGATTTGACTCCGGGGGAAGGAGTTCCTCAAGAATAGACTAGTCCTGTTATTAGAAGGACTGGAGGTGATATGAAAGAATGCAACAGGTTGCAGTGAGTGACCATCGAGCACTAGACATCAAACTAAAAACAAACCAGAATAGTCAGAGAGGAAAAGGAGTGTGGAAGCTAAACATGAGACTATTAGAAAACAAACAACTGTCCAAGGAATACGTAGTGCTATATAAAACCTGGAAAACCGTGTAGAGATATTTTAAGAATCCCTGGAATTGGTAGAGAATGATAAAGAAGGCAACAGGAGAGTCCTTCTGCAAAGTAGGACAAAAGGAAGTGCAAAGGAAGAGACGAGAACTGAGACCCCTACAGGGAGAATTAGAGAAGTGGCAAAAACAAGCAGTACAAGGGGAAGACAAGAAATAAAGAGATTGCAGAGAACAAGAGAAGAGTCAACAGATGGTTTAGGAAGAGGGCAAAAGGGATCTTAACTCGAGCACCGGGGACAGAAGAAGGAGAAACATGGAGTAAATCCTTCTCAATCAAACTCGGAGAAGCAAGAAAGGAACTGCTGACATTGATGAAAGTAGAAGGGAAATGAGCAATGAGTCGGAAAAGTGCTGGAAGTGGCACAATCCTACTATAAAGAATTATATAAAGGTACAGGTGAAACAAAAGCCTGGTCATTTGCAGGGGAAATTGTGCAAAGAATAGGTGAAGAAGGAGTGGAGATGGAGAGAGAAATCACCCAGAAGGAGGTGCATGAAGCAATGGAAAAACTGAAGAGGGTAATCCAGGTTGAGATGGATTAGCATGTGAATTTTATGAGAAATTTTGGGGATGTATAGGGAAAGGCCCAGTAAAACTATTTAATAGAATGTGGGAGCAGGGCAAAATAGTTTAAAGGTTTGTGGAAAGCATTGTAGTCCTCATCTTTAAAAAGGAGAGAGAGAAAAACTAGAAAATTGGTGATTTAATTACGCTGCTAAATGCCAATTTATAAAATCTTATCAAAAGTTTTGGGCCAAAAAATGAGACAGTTTATCAGAGCTGATTCATGAGGACCAGACATGTGCCATATTATGGAGAAGAATTGGGGATGCATTATGGTTAATAAGGGACACACTGAGGGATAGAAAGTGCCTTGGGCCTAGACACCCCCAGCCCACTGTGCAAGAATGGAGAAGCTCATGGTACACTTTGCACTGTTAGAAGGGATCATGAAGAAATGGGAAAACAGTAAAAGCCTTGAAAGGAATATAAGTGACAGAATAACAGAAGTGGGGAACCTGACCGAGAGTCAGTCAGCCCAAGTGTGGAAGGGGGTTGTGGAAGCACAGGCAAAGACAGAACTTGTAGAAATTGCGTGGATAGCAGCACAAAATGTATTACCTGTATGTGAGAGGTTACACACATGGGGATTACACAGATTGGAAAAGTGCCCAAGGGAAAACTGTGAGAACATAAGAGTCAATTTACCACATGTTCTGGGAGTGCAAATGTGTAGAGAAGGTGTGGAAGAGGGTGCGGAGGTTTGCAAAGAAGACCCAGTGGTATAATGTATTGACATACAAGATGGTGATACACGGACTGGACCAAAGAGGACAAATGAGCTGGGAACTGACACTATTGATAATACGCATAAGAGTGGCCATCTGTAAGACGTGGAACCTGCTGGAGTGCAAGGGACTTCTTCACACCATGAGAATGCATGCAGCTAGCCATGCATGAACTGCTATGGTGTAGTGAAAGGGATGAAGAAGAGCTGGGAGCATCGAGCGCGATGAACAAGTAGAAATTAAAAGACTGGGAAATGCTGTTCTGGGAAAATTCTAAGTGGGAGGAGGAGGAGCAGGGGGAATAACAAAAAAATTGGATTGGGAAACTGATGAAAGTATGACAGGTAATACCATTTGTTAAGACAGATGTTAAAGGATATAAATGAGATTTTTTTTCTTGGTTTAGGGAAGTGATATCTAAAGTGATGTAATCTGTTTTCTTTTTAATGTGGGGGGGAGATTCTGATTTTTAATAAAAAAAACTGTATCAGTTAATACTAATATACTTGTTCTGTCTCTCTATTTCAGCATACTGTTCTACATACTTAGCTTCCTATCAGTGGTCAACTTTTAGAATTTAATCTCCTTAATATCTCAGGGCCAGATCCCTGTGAAGGGTTGTACGCTCAAATCATGCTGATGTCAGTGCTAAGGATTGACTGAACATGCTTAACCACCCCAAAGGAATGCTGTGCACCCAGCAAAAACAGGCCTTTCTTTAGCAAATACCTTCTTGGTTAAGGAGGAAATAAGCAAAACTTAGGGCAAGCTCACGTTTTGCTAAATTAAGTTCAAAGCACTTACCAGTTACACTACTGTACTCAGTGGTGATATGTAACTATGTTTTTGAACAAGAAGTAAATAAATGATTTTATTACAATAAAGTGGTGCCATTAGAAGGTTTATGACTTCATTTTACTGGATTCCTTCAGAACAGGGCACATGTGTTAACCTGATTACTTGCACAGCATGACATTTCAGAGGTTTGAAGAGAATAGTATGGGAATGTGTAATGACTCCTTGGGCAGCTGTCCAGGAAGCAGCCCTGCAGGATAAAAGAAAATCCCATCCTGGAAAAAAGTCATTGCAATCACCATGCACGCCCTGGAAAATATCTGTGCTGGAAAATGGAATCTTTTTGTAGTTAGCTGTCTGTAGGCCATTTTATTACACATCATATTCAGTTAATTTATCAGTTATATTGCTGCTGTAATCATTGCACAAGAAGTAAAAGCTGTCCCAAAATACAATTAAAAATTATTGATTTTTACACACAGAGTGCCCTTGGCTTTTTTGTTTGTCTGTATGTTCCTACAGGATTAAGATCATTTTCCATGTCTGGAATTCTAAATTATAAAGCAACTCTGAATATTAAGCAGCGTAATTTGCATTGATGACATTTTATTGCTTTGTATATGCAACTTCAGCAAAAGTATGTAGAATAGGGTCAAAGAGTGGAACCTTAGCATGCTGCTAATCTCTGATATTTTTGAATGGACTGAAAAAATTATACAATAACTTTCCCTTATCATTAAAGCACAAACTGTTTTTCTTTTATAGGTGACATCACCATTGAAACCAAAACAGGAAACATCACAGTAGGTGTGTTCTACTTTCTCTTTAAATATAGATTTAATTTTTATCCGCCTGTGGTACAGAATTTGGGCAAAATACATGGATTACTAATATTGTTAGTATTTTTTTAAGTAGAAAGTGTTGTCTGTGATTTTAAATGCAGAATCACTTTAAAATTGGTTTTTTATTTCATTTCAGCTTTGAAAGTGCAAGAAAAACTTTTGATATTAGGAAAAACTTTACAGAAGTCTTCAAGGGCATTTTAGAAAAGTATACAATCTTGATTTAAATACTAAGAACAGAGAACTTACCTCAGCACTTTGTATTCTGTTTTATTGTTTAATTACTGTCACTGAAAAATTTATGGTTCCTTGCTGGTTTGAATTTTGTCCTACAAAACATTCAATCATCAAAATGTAGGGCTAGAAGGAACCTCAGGAGATCATCTATCCAAGCCCTGCACTGAGGCAAGATCAAGAATAATTCAACTATGATCAACTTGCTTTTTAATCTAATAAGTTTTTATATTCGATGAAAAATTAATGGGAGGGATTTAATTACAAGTACTATGAAATCATCATTTATTTTATGTCATCCACAAAGATGTGAGGAGACAAAGTGCTTATGATGTAAATTCTTTTCTGAACAATATGCTTTTGACTATTAAAAAATGACAGTTAACTGTTACTATTTCAGCAACGATTTTTATTGTCCATGTAACCCTTCTGCCCAGCCCTGGATGGCGGTAACAAGGGCCAGGTTCAAATTTAGAGGTTTAACGCCAACTTTCCAAATCTGGCTCAAGCCCCCACCCAGAAATGTAGGAAAACAAATTTTAACTAGGTATTGTAAAATGAATATACTTCTCCAGTCACAAGCAATGTTAAACTAAAACAGGGTTTATTACAGTGGGAAAGGGAACACACATGCGCGCACACACTTAAAGAAAACATGGGTGACTGGTGCCTCTTGAGTGGGGGGGGGGGGGCATGTGTCCCCCCCGACACCAGTCAGCAACCGGGGGTGGTCCCTGGCAGCCTATCTCAATCACCTAAAAGCAGTTGCGCTGCTTCCAGAAGTCCTGCAGCACTTCCAGAAGCGGCACGGCCTCTTCTGCTGGCAGTTGCACCCCCCAGCCGGAGCTCATGGTGGGGGCACTAGTGCTCCTGCCTGCACCTCTGCTCACTGGCTAAACAGGCTGTACTAGCACTCTCAGGGGGTATATGTGCATCCCCGTGCACCTCCTGCGCATTGCCACTTAAAGAAAACCTTTGTTTTTATTTCTGATAAACACGCTGGTGGATTAGAAGGCATGTTAATATGACTAGGGTGCCTAAACTTAAAATCTCTTTCTGTCTACCAACAGATGACAAATGGTTTCCTTAATTAGCTCACCCCAGTTCTAAACATTAAGAAGTGCCTGACAGTTGAGAGCCATTTTATCTTGCAGATTTACATGCCTAAATGATTATTTACACTTCACTTTCTCTAAGACCGTAAAGCTGGTTATTCTGATTTTCAGCCTCTTTATGGACATTTTTAAAGGTACAAATGCCTTTCAGGAGTGGTTTGTAGCTGGGGCGTAATGGGTCAGTTAGGATGATTATTTTTTACTCACTTAATACTTTTGACCTCAAACTCTTAAAATATTCTATGGAAGTAAGTATTAATTTTTCTGTTATACACATGAGACTGAGGCACAGGCTGGTTAGTGTGTTGTTAAGGATCGTTAAGGTGACATGGTGACAAAGTCAGGAAGTAAGTTCAGATGTCCTGCCTGACCTCTTATTCAAATCATTGTACTGTGTTACTACCATGATGATAAGTACATTTTCAAATTTTCACAACGGACATTTTTTCCTATGTATACAAAGTTAGTAACAGTGTTTAAAAAGAAAAAAAAGATTTTGTCTTAACAGGGATGGCATTTATTAATTAATTAATTAAGTAATGTACACATTTTTTCTATCACTGACTCTAGATTCTTGGTAGTGTTGAAGTGATGTTGCCATAGTTGTCCAAGAAATATGAAAGAGAGAAGAATTCTTGTGGGTGATATCTTTTATTGGCTCAATGGTATGGTTGAGATATACAAGTCTTCCTGAGGTGAGACATGAAAAAGGGTACTCAGTTACCTGAAAGCTTGTCTGCCTATCCCAGAGGCGGACAATTATTTCGGCTGGAAGGCCGCTTAATGAGTTTTGGTGAGCTGTTGAGGGTCACAAGGGTAGCCACGCCCACTGGTTGCCATCTTGGGATTGGAAGTCTTGCCCCTAACCTCTGACCTTTGCCACTGGAAGTCTTTCCCCTTGGGCTGGAAGCACACCTTTTGGCAAGAGGGTTTGCCATCTTAGAACTGGAAAAATTGTATACTAAAAATTAAACATTGATAATAATATATTTTAATTTAATTTAAAAAAATTTATCTTGATTTGTGTGCTTGTGCTGTATATATAGAAGTGATTGACGTGACTGCATAATAGCTCGAGATGAAATCTTACTCTTCTATATTGTGTGGGATGTGGAGACGTGTGAGGGGGTTATGGGTGGGTAGGTATGCGGTTTGTGGGGGTGGGT